AGGGTAAAAGCAGCACGTAGATCGTCTCCATCTCTCTCTACCCACGTCACCTGAGTTTGGCGGTGAGCGGGGCCATTTCTGTCCTTCACCGGCAGGGGGCCCTGTTGGCTCTATTCCCACCCCCTCATCCACCTCCCCTGTGGGCAGAGTCGCTGAGGGGCTTTGCTGAGCAGTACACAGAAGGGCTGCCAGAGTGGGGTGGAAAGTTACATGCTGAATGTGGGTGATGTAGACGGCCCAGCTGGAGGAGCAATGCCATAGAATCCACAATCCGGAATCAGCCCGGTGACCTTACACCGTGGCTTAAGGGGATTGAATAGGAATTCTGAGACTGTGGTCTGAGGCAGCCTTCCCTTTGGCTCCCAATCCCTTTCCTACAAAGCAGGTTTCTTTGTATTAGATTATCCCAACGATTACGCCTTACTAAAGCAGGCCTGAGGTTTATTTTAAACAATATTGAAAGAGAATAACTCTATTATCCTCCCTTCTTGCCCAACACCCCCCTATAGCATCCATGCAGATTAGCGCCAGCCAGTGGTTACGGAGATCAGTCAGAACACAAGGAGGTTCAGAATCCACGCCATACTGAATTCTAGTGGAAATTGGACTATGGCCCATGTAGTTTATTCTGCAGTTTACGTGGGTGCAGCCATAGGAGAGAAAGAAGAACAGGGTTCTCATGCTGGTTTAGATACCAGCCTAGCTCATGTCTCCTGAAACAAGTCATATCTCTCTAGGTCTACAGTTATTTCCTTCTGTACAAATCAGGAGGGTGAGGATAGTTGATCAGAAACAGAATGATGTTCTTTTTCCGAAGCCTCGGGAAATGTCATGAGGGGAACATTTTTGTGGGCTGGTGGATTTTGTTTTTAGACAGCCTGTGGAGCCAGCTTACCAGGCCTCGTGGCACACAGAAAAATGCCATTTGGAAATAGGAAGAGAACACAATTCTAGCTATTTTGGACCACCCATGGCATAAACTGTGTGGCTCGTTCCCAAACAGAGCATTCACCACGCTTGAGTCCTGTGTTCTGAAAAGAAAATTAAACCGTCCAAACGTCCGCCAACTAGTGAATGGATAAAATGTGGTCTATCCATATAATGGGATAATACCCAGCAATATAAAGAAATGAACTAGTGATAACGCTCTCACCTGGATGAACCTTAAAAACATGATGCCCCGCGGAAGAAGCCAGATGCAAAGGACTGCACATCACATGATTGTCGTTTATGGGGAGATGCCCAGGATAGGCAAATCCATAGAAACAGCACATCAGAGGTTGCCTGGGGGATGGGTTTGGGAATTGCCTGCAGATGAGCACTTTTTAGGGTGATGGAAATATTCTAAAACTAGAATTTACTGAACTTACTAAAACTCATCACACACTTGACTTTATGGACATAAACTGTATCTCAGTAGAGCTGGTTTGTTTGTTTGTTTGTTTGTTTTAAAAAGATGACCACTGTGTTTTCTGTAAAATGAGATTATCATGGTTGATTTTCTTTTTGACGCCTGTGACTGTGGCCTGGAGGGGATGTGCAAGAAGAAGGGCTTCTTAGTTATCTCGTGGTTGAAGAGCTCCGTGCTGAGTTCTGAGGGGGCTGCAGGCACAGTGACGGTATTTTCTGAACCCAAAAGGGAAATACAGAGTCAGGCCATGTCCTAGGTGCGTTGCCCTTATTTTCTCATTAATCCTCTGTTAATTCTCATAGCATCCCTGTGGGGAAGGTGTGGCACACATATGCCAATTTTAAAGAAGAAAACTGCGGCTCAGAGAGGTTGACTCTTGGAAAAACTTTGAAGTCCATAAATGATGGACTAGAGAGATTCAAACCCAAGGCTTCTGTGGCTCTAACAATCAGTGATCTTTATAATAAAAATGTTTCCTCTTGGGCTTCCCTGGTGGCGCAGTGGTTGAGAGTCCGCCTGCCGATGCAGGGGACATGGGTTCGTGCCCCGGTCCGGGAAGATCCCACATGCCGTGGAGCGGCTGGGCCCGTGAGCCATGGCCGCTGAGCCTGCGCGTCCGGAGCCTGTGCTCCACAATGGGAGAGGCCACAGCAGTGAGAGGTCCGCCTACCTCAAAAAAAAAAAAAGCTTTCTCCTAAGAAAAAGTGTATTTATGAGAGCACCGCGCTCTGTCACAAATAAAAAGATGCTTTCAGGAATAGTAGAACAGTTATGAACAATAAATGACTGAACATCCACAGCAGGGAGAGAATATGACAGAGCCAGCTCCATTCATCTGCCCTGGGATGGGCAGGTAGGTTAAGGGGGTCCCGATGTGGATATGCCTGCTTTGTGCAGGGGGCAACCCCTGAGCCCTTGGATATGCTGAATTGCTAGTTCTTCCCTTCTTTGTTTTTCTTGCATGGTTTTTAAAAAAATGTATTCTGGGATATTTGACACATCCCATAATACAAGAATACTTCTAGAAGGAGAATAAAGAATCCTTATATGGCCATGAGCTAACTTAAATAAAACATTATCTGGTGTGCTTTTCAATACACGACCCATGATGGGTATGTAAGTAGCCTGGTTACACCATGTTGGGAGCCTGGGCTTTGAGCTGGAAACCCTCGATTCAGATCCCAGCTCCAGCATTTATTACCTTGGAGAGGTTGCAAACCTTTCTGAGCCTGTTTCCCCTTAAGTAAAAGGGAGATAAAATAGGCCTCATTTTCCCGGTTGTGGGGATTAAATGGGATCGTGTATGTAAAAAGCTTCTCTTGATCCATACTAATTAGTAGTAGCTCTATAAAAGGCACTAAAATCTTACATAGATTTCATCTGTCATGATTATAGCTCTGTTTTCACCCTTCAGGGAATTCAATTTTGAGGGGAAATTGTTTTCCCGAGTTCCTTAACAGGTCGTCACCTGCACGCCAGCTCTTGATTCTGTCCTGCCTCCTGTCACTGTCCAGCTAAGGGCCCAGGGGTGTGTCCCTTTACCCTCCATCTGCCCGTGAGGAAAATGCCCATCTTAAAGAAGAACACTGAGGCTCAGAGGTTGAATCTTACAAAAACTCCATCTATAAACTGAATCATCCCAGCCAGCTTCATACTCTGTGACACTGGTGTCCTTGTCAGAACATTTAGAAGCAGAAGCGGAACAGGCCACAGGTGTGTTCTCCTTTGGTTTCCTTAGGATGGAGAAGGAAGCAGAGCTGACGGGTTAAAGCTGAGCTACCCAAAGAAACTGGGGGACTTTCCCACATCTGGGGAAACTTTCTGTGCTCCCTGCATTGCACACAGTGGTTTACGAGCATCTTGACTTGTCCAAGTCAGCCCTGGCTTACACCTGTTTTCCTAATGTAATCAAGAACGTCTCCCTCCCACTCTCAAAAATGATGTAATTTGCATGATAAATTATAAGGTCACATGGTAAAAACCATAACTTTTAAGGCATGAAACCGGAGCTGCATGGGAATCTCCTACAGGATTCTGAGGCTGCTGTGGTCATACAGTAACCAAGACCAGTGAAGGACGTGACTGTTTACAGTTGTGCTTTCACATCTCTGCTCTGGTTTGATCTGCAAAGCAACCCTGTGTGATGGGGCAAGCTGTGTCAATATTGTCATTTGAGGCCCAGAGAGATTAAGTGACTTGTCCAGGGTTGCACAGCTAGTAAGTGGTAGAGTACAGACTGCAACTCGTGGCTTTGGTTTTCTGAAAGCTGGGCTCCTGGCGCTTTTGTCCCACAATCAGCACATGCTAGCTCCCAAAGCGCAGAGGGTGAAAGTTGGATTTTAGTAGTTTGTATTGTCAGTTTCTTCAGAGGTTGGAAAGAGGAACTCTCCAACAGGAAGTAATTCAGCCTGACCTAATCAGTAGGATCACACCCCAGGGCACTGACAGGCTTGCAGGGAATCGGGCTTGTTTCTGAAAGAACCCCATTCATGCCTTCTGCCCCTCAACTGGTCCTTGGAGGAAACTCTGGTTCCTTTGTCAGCATCCTCTTGCCCAGCCTGGGGCTAACTTGGAGGTGTGTGTTACCCACACAGGGGAGGGGGGGCTTCCCTTCCTCCAACCCCGCTCCCTCTAACCCCCTTGCCAGTTCAGAAAAAGAAATTCTGCCTAAGGGTGGAAGCAAAGCTGAGGGAGCCCCTAGGTTCCTTCTTCTCTGTCCCCCAAGCTGCGTGGCCCTATTACTTTACCCTCAGGGTCAGTTTAGACCCTGGCCATCAGCATCTGGTGTTAAAAGAACTGCAGAAAAGGAGGGATTGCCCAAGGGGAAACACCCTTGCATCCACAGTCTCTGCCTGTGAATAAATATTTTATTCCTTCTCTGCAGCACTTAATACATGCCTCGAGGCAAATGCATTTTTTAACATTGGAAAAATTACATCTGGAATAAAAAAATTTCTTAGCCCCACTCTGCACAAATTTCTTTTAATATAGGAGAATTTTTGTGTGAGTTCTTTATAGAAACAACCCCTATCTCCTATTCCCACACCCACCCCAATTTCAAGTTATTTATTCAATGGACAAGAGAGACACAGAGCCTTCTGAGGGCAGGATGATTGGGCGAAGCAGGGCGAGGATTTGGGAGTGGGTCGGCAGCCACTGGCTCACTCTGGGTGGCTTGAAGTACAGAGCACAGATTGGGCAGGGCCGCGTGGAGACCGGTGAGTTTCCCTCAGTGCTTCTGTCCCTGGACAGCTCGCTCTGTGTCCTGAACAAGCACGGTCTTGCTCAGGACTCTGTCTTTTTCGGTTGTGTCCTTCCTGAGAATTTCCCCCTGGCACTCACCAGACATCCCAGTTGCTGCTTGCCTCGGGTATCCACTCTAATCCCAGTGGGGAGAATCAACTAATTTCTTTGTGGTTTTGGCCTGATTTTAACTGACTGGGACACCAATTAAGTGTTCAGGAAATCTGTCATATCCCAGAGGAATTAAAACTCGTGCGAGGGCTGAAGCAGCCTCTTGAAAGGGTGCGAGACAGGGCTCCCCAGAAAGGCTTCCTCCTCTAACCAGAACCTCTTCACTGTCTTGCAGAAATCAGGAATGGAAACCTCAAGGCCATTCTAGGCCTCTTCTTCAGCCTCTCCCGGTACAAGCAGCAGCAGCAGCCCCAGAAGCCGCACCTCCCCTCGCCACTGCTGCCCGCCGTGTCCCCGGCGGCCGGGGCCCCCTCCCAGTGCCAGGCTGGCGCTCCTCAGCAACAGGTGCCCGCCGCTCCCCAAGCCCCGTGCCAGCCTCACCAGCCAGCGCCACACCAGCCGTCAAAAGCACAAGCTGAGATGCAGTCCAGGTGGGCTCTCCTCGCCAAATGATACTTCTGCTTCTTTTCAGGGGTCTTCTGCCCCACTGACCACATTCTAGCCGGTGCCGGACGTGTGTGTCATTTGCGCTTCTTCCGTGCTGAGAACTGCGGGTAGTTCGTGGGGAATTAGCGTGACCTTGAAATGGATGTGCCTGGTGGAGATGTGCACTTTATAGATCAGAATCGCCAGCAGCCAGAGCTAATTAGCTGCTCCTGCCTGAACTCTAGCCTCTTACACACACAGGTTGGTAGGCAATCAACAGCCCCTAAAATAGACTTCAAATTTCTTTTGCTTGTCTGCCTACAAGCTGGGTGTTCAGTGTTATATGTGCAAGTAATTTCCCTTAGTGGAGGCAAAAGTTCTCCAGCAGATGCCTCTGCTTTGCCAGAAGAGAAATACTGGGAACACAGAAGAAAGATGGCCAGTGGTTTTTAGCAGGGAAAGAGGCATTCCCCCTTCCCTGAGAGGGCCAGCATCCCCTAATGGGGAGCAGTTACCATTAAATGTGACTGACTTTTGTTGACCTTAGAGACCAGGTAGCAGTGTCAGCTGTGGCCCTCTGCTTTTTGGATTAGGACCTAGATTTTGTTTGTTGTTTCCAGAGGGACCCACGCTTGCCAGAGGGACTCGCCATAGAATGATAACGCTAGCAGAACGCTGGGGCAGTTACCATCTACTCTGTTACAGTGTATAGATGCATTCCTAAACAACTCTGCAGAAGATCACCTCGTACAACATTTGTTTCAATGACAAAAGAAGGAGGGGATTAGGAACTAGAAAGTTTTTGACTCATAGTAAAGTTCTGGAGAAAAGTCCACCATAATTGTTTTTTTAAGCCATAAATCTTTAGCTATCAAACCTAAATGCCACTGATCAAATTGATTGCTTGATTTCATTGAACATATGCTAAAGAGTAATGGCTTTTTCTTTCCAGTTCCCCGAATAGGCCATTGTAGTTAGGCAAAGCACAAAGTGGTTCAAACAAAGCAGCTGCCTTATAGATAGATGGTTGCAGCTTTTTTTCCCCAGGAGAAGCGCTGTTTCCCAATTGTGGTGGTGTTAAAACCAGCACTGATAGATGTGATATAACTCAGAGCCCCTAATTGATTATCTAATTATATCCAGTTCCCATTATGGAGGTTTGTGGGCTAGTAGGAATGCCTGGACTAGCAATGAGGAATAGACAGCCGGGCAGCCAGCCTCTGCACCTTTGCCTTGAAGAACCACCTGGGTGGGAGCCATTCTCTGATCGGAGATCCCCGATGGACCTGGATGATTAAATGATCAGGACGTCATTTCCCACACTGCATTTTGCAGAGTGCTTATTCCCTGGATGGTAACATGCAGGGGAAGGGTTCTAAGGGGGAAAAATGGGGAAATCCTCTGGGTTAAGTTGTATAACTGTTACTGCAGGGTCTACTCAGATCCTTGAATCGGCCAATATGCATTCATTTATCCAGTTAGTGTTTGAATGCCTTCTATGTGCCCGGCACTGTCCTAGGCACTGGGGGATCAAGGGTGAATGAGATAGCCAAGGTGCCTGCTCTCTACTTCCTACTGGAGGAGGGCAGGCAAACAAAAGGGGAAGAGAAATATCCGATGGTGGTAGTACAATAAGATAATGGGATCAGAGGGACCGGGTTGATCATTTAGGTTGAGTTGAGGGGAGGCTTTCTCTGAGGACATGACACCAAAGTGGAAATACGAATGACAGGGAGCTGTCCATGCGGGTGTAGAATAGATCAGGTAGCGGGAGCAGCTGGTGCAAAGGCCCTGGGGTAGGGGTAAACTTGGCAGCTTGGAGGAGCAGAAAGAAGGCTAGTGTGGCTGGAGTTCAGTGGGTGAAGGGGGTGTGAAGTGAAAGGCAGCCTATAAGCAAAGAGGGCTGACCGGTGGCCCCTAGAGTTCTGTAGTCCCGTGGCCCTTGAGGTGAGGTCACAGTGATGGCTCTACAGGCTGAAGAGTTGATATTTCATTCTAAAGGTATCAAGCCATTGGAGAGTCGAGCAGGAGAGAGACTTGATTTGATTTACAGTTTTTCTGTTTGTTTGTTTTTTTAGTCACTTTTGTTCCTCTCTGGAGAATAAGACTGTGGGAGGGTCAAGAATAGAAGGAAAGACCCTAGCTAAGAGGCTTCCGTGGTCCTCTAGATGACAGTGGCTTCGATCAAGGTGGTAGAGCAAATATGGAGATGGACCAGTTCAGGATATTTCGGAGGATGAGCCAACAGAACTACAGGTAGATTGACTGTCTAGAGTGAGGGAGAGAGGAATCACAGAGAAAGCCGAGATTTCTGGCTTGAGCGGTTAGGAAAATGGTGGCATTTCTTGAGATAAGGAAGCTGGGGGGTTGGGGTGGGGGGAGGAACACATGTGTACTGGGAATCTTCAGAAGGCGGCGTAGAAAGCATTCTCAAACGGAGCCACAGAACTCTTCTCATTTTATAGAGCATCTCATTGCATAGGGTTCCAAGGAACGTGTGTTGAGGAACACTGGGCTTTTGTCACTGAGCTGTGCTAGCCTGAGGCATCCATTTCCATAGTAAGCATTTGTCTTCTCAAAAGAACCAGATGTTCCAGTCAGGACACCCATCTCCAAGTAAGAAAAAACATCCTACTATTAATAAACGCTTTACCTGGGGGGACTTCCCCGGCAGTGCAGTGGTTGAGACTGACTCTGCTCTTCTACTGCAGGGGGCAGGGGTTCCATCCCTGGGCGGGAAACTAGGACCCTGCATGCCACGCGAGGTAGCCAGCAATTTTTAAAAATAAAAAATAAATGCTTTACCTAAAGACGAGCCAAACTCACTTAAGCCAGGTTTTTATATCCATTTTTTCCAGAGTAGTTCCTGCCATCACGGCCCCCTGACCCTGCAATGTGGTGACACAAACTGGGCTCTGGAGTTACTGTATGTCCTCATTCATCCCGTATTTGGCCCATATTGGGTTACTTTCGCAGATGATTTGTTTTATCCATTATATACTGATAGTTTCTAATTTTACTTCCAGAGGATAATCTTGTTCTCAAGGTCCAGAGATGTGATACCCCGTGCTCATGCTCTGGCCGTAAATTTAAGAGGAGTAAAATCACTTCCCTGGCTTTGTTTCATTGTATTTCTATCCCCACATGCTGACTTCGATAACCAAAGTCCCAAGGATAATGGTTCAGACCCTTGATCATTAACGTCAAATGTTGATGCAACCCCCAAATACCAGGTTTGTGTTGATCCTTCATTAGAACTCTGCCACATACAAACATGCCTAAATACAGTACCTCTCAGGATAGCAAATACTAAAACTGGACAGCTTTCCCGTAGTGTTTGTTAATAAGAGAGTTAATAAGAGAGTTTGTTAATAAGAAGCTGAACAAGGGAATTTGAGATATTGGCATGAAGGAATCAGAGCAACTCCTCTGTGATGGCCGCCGAACAGAGACTCCCTTTTACCCTGCAGCTCTTCTCATTCATTTACGTGATGGCTGAGAACTTGATCCACCTTTCACCTCATGAAATTCCTCTCCATCTGTGCTACATGTTGTCAATATTTAGCTTTGTAGAAAACATCCAAACAATCACTTTTTTTAATTCATTCACTTCTGTCTCTTCCTTCACTTCCTAAGTTTAATGACACTAACATTGTATTTCTCACCTCGTATCCTTTTATGAATGTGGCATAAGATGTATGGATGCGAGAAAGATAAATATTTCTGTCTTTCATGAGGCAGTTTATAAGTTTAACCTTCTATTAAGTCCAACCATGATTCTTCATAAATTTATGGTTCAAAGCCCAGAATGTAGCAAGTTCAGAAGACTTGAAATGATCACTGCTTTATACCATGGAGAGCAAAAATTCCCAAGACCAGCAAAACTTGAAAACATCTCCACGTCCACCCTTGTTTAGAGTCAACTTTATGGGCTATTGAGGACACTCATCGAAAAACCACCCTGGTAGAACAAGCATGTGAAATAGAGACATCTGAATACTTTAGAAAGCTACAAAGTTTACTTGTCTGAGACCCCTGGCTTCAGTGTCATTGTGGAAGAAGGCCTTATAGTGACTGATACCAGAAAAGAGATTTGGAGTTAAGAAAAAAAAAAAAAGAAAACCACAAAAGTTCTTAGATAATCTCGATAGCAGTTTCTTCATGTTGGAAATTTATCAAATCAGACCTAGAAAGAAGGCTGCATATCGTAGAAAAAGCAGGCAGAGGGAAACCCAGGGGCGTTCCCATCATCACAGGACTCCTGTTATTTATTTGCGTGTCTAATGCATCTTCTCTCCCCTCACTCATCTCTTCCACTTTTTTCTTTCCTATCATGCAGTGCATCTTCCAAGGACTCATCACAAAGCAAAATCATCCGCTTCACTCTGGGTCAGAAAAAGATCTCTAGGTTAGACTTTCTCCGTGTCCCGCGAAGCATGGTTTCAACCCAGCCCCTCGTTCCTTTTGTTCTGGCTGCGTTTCCTTTTGGTCCCCCTCCCCATGTCATGTTTGCAGTTTGGGAAAACCAAACATGCTTTGGCTGATGACCCAGTGTTGGAGAGTTGAGAGTGGCCATGGGGTTGTTGAAGGGGTGTGTGTGTGTGTGTGTGTGAGTGTGAGTGATAAGTGAGGTTGAGTTGTACGTATTGTTTCTGCATTTCATTGATTTTTTTTTTTGTCTTTGATTGCTTGGACATCAAAGTCCATTCTGATTTAGAGAGGTGAGTTTGTAGGTGGTTTTCCATAGTAGTTTTATGATGAGTTTGGCTCCCTGCTCTGTCCTGGCCCTGATCCCACCTCACCTGCATCTCATTTATGTGTGTTATGCTTTTTGTTATTGGTGCTGTCATTAAAATTACTAATGTGGGATTGGTTTTCTCTTGAGTTTTAAAGACCTGAGGCATGAATCCAGTTGTTCAGAGACAAGGCAATAAGGCAATGTGTCATTTTTATTTCTGGGTGCTCTTGTGTACCATGTGTACCATGGACAGATCACCTCAATTCC